TTAAAATGGCCATAAAAAATGTTAGTTTGCTGATCTACATCTACTAGATTAAACAAATGTTCAAACTTCATTTCGTATTGGTTTTTTGAATCATCTTATTGATGTTTAGGACTGCAACTGGTCAGTCTGTCATTGGCATATGTGCATACTGTGTGTATTGACTGGATATTGCCTTAAATCACTAGCATTATAATCAGAGATAGATTATGCCTAGCGGTGAAATACAGGACACACGTTTTGTTTTATTTAAGACTCGTAAGCTGGATGTACTTGCATCTCAGGGTTGATGTTCATTCTAGGACTCGAGCCCAGTACCGTCCGCTTCAATCGCTATCGCATTATCCACTGAGCTACTGAGTCACAACCTACCTTTGTTTATAATGGTTTTGAATAAGGGCAATATCTAGGCGATCCGCACAAGATGAACATATGCCAATGACAGACTGATCAATTGCAGTCCTAAACATCAATGGGAAGGTTCAAACAACTAATACAGAAATGAATCAAAACTTCACTCTACTGCACAAGCTAATGGTTATCTGGATCCTGAAGGTAGGTAATAGTGCGATGGCGTTTGAAGGAAACGGTACTGGGTTCGAGTCCTAGAATGAACATCAACTCTGAGATGCAGGTGCATCCAGCTGACAGGTCCCAGATAGAACGAAACGCGCGTTCTGTATTCCACTGCTAGCCACCATGCATCTATGCTTAAAATGTTTAAAATGTTTCCTTAGTGCGTTCGATAACGAAATATTACAGATAACTATGAATTCTAAAAACGGAACATCAAATTAGGCAATACTTATAAAGATTTTATATAACCTGAAGATAGTATTCATCAGTGAATTAAGTCAACTGATGATCCGGTGATAACTAGTAAGAATTAAACAGTTGTTCTGCTTGAGGTTATTGTAATTTACGAATACCCATACAGAGCATATGTGAAACTAAATACATAATATTCATCTGAAATTAGTTTGTAACATAAATTATCTTTAAAATCACAAAATAATTTTGAAATGTCGTAAATAATTTCTTCGGAATGTGTTTGATGTGCACACTTTAAGAATTAGAGATTACTGTTTATTACAATAGATAAATGTAGGTGTTTTTCTATTTAATAATTTATTTGTGGAAAATTTTTCAGTTGGATAATCGATGTTTCGAGTGAGATAATGTTTATATTAATATGGATTTACCCGTAAAAGTTTTCTCTATAAACGCTTTCCTTTCAAATGCTACAACGTTGGTCGCGATCATAACAACACTGATCTTGTTTGGAAAGAAAAAGAAACTTATCGTCAAGAAAATATGAATGTTACAGATGCCGACCAGGTTGTTACTACTGTTACTACTACTACTACAGCGACTCCTTGTTTCTCCCACAATCGATTCTCTAGACAACATTCATTTAAAATGTAGGGACAGATTTTATCGTCCTCATACTGTATAATTCTGTTCACAGATCAAACAATAGTTTCTATCTGTGATTATATGTTACTTTCCAAGCAAAGATGTTCACAGATACCCATACCAGATGATTTTTATTTCAAATTCGAGGTTTTTGGTGCTATCCTGTTCAGTAAGTCATCTGATATGTTACACAATTATTCAGTTGAGGTATGAGATAGTGATAATTAATTGTGCAAAATAAATTATAAATTTTATCGCATTGGTGGTAATAGCATCATACCTGATTCATTCTTTATGTTATCGTATACATTGGATATGTAGTACGGAATGCATTAACGAAGAACTCACTTTCCTCAAGAAAACCTTGATGAAAAATGGCTACCCAGACTGTTTCATAGAGAAGAATATCAATAAAAGTATTTTCGACAGGAAACCTAGTTGTTCCGTTCCAAAGAAAAACCTTTATATAAGTCTGGAATTTAAAGGTGATCGAACATCAGACGTAATCAAAAATCGTCTAACAACAACGATTAAAAGGACATTTAATGCGTCTAAACTGCGAACAGCCTTAACTAGTAAGAACTTATTTTCTGTATCCATAAAAGATAAGCTTCCGCATCTGGTTGCCTCTATGTGCATCTTCCAGTTCACCTACTCTTGTGGAGCAAGGTAGATCGGCCGTAGCTAGCGCTCACTTTAAACTTGGATACGAGAACATATCCCAGTTTGGTTCTACAAGGGTGAAAAGAAAGCAGTTAGTTCTATACATGAAAACATAATCGACCGTAATCATTCTACGGATCCACAGTCTGATTTTAAGTTTGTTTATATGGTTCATTCAAATCTACCTAGATTTCTTCGTTTCCAACTCCTAAAAATACACGAAGCTCTTACCATCCATGAGTATGTCTTATCATTATCGTTACCATGGCCTTAATATTATTATTATCATTCTATTATTACTATTATTATTATTATTATTATTATTATTATTACTGCATTTCCCTTTACTTATGTCTTATATTCTCATTATTTCATTCACGAATACTCATCATATCACTTTATTTATTTTTACACCTCTATGACCTTTAATGACCCTTAATTATTGTAACAAACAAGCATTTTTATCATTTTAATCATCTTATCATATTCACCAAATCTATTTTTATTACTTGTATTGCGTAATCTGGTATTATAATCTTTCTATTACGTCATCTTGGTTATTCGTGTTCACATTTTTTTCGCGGAATTAGTACTTTAACAAAACATTTTCATATATATACGATTGTGCAGCTTGATAATAAATTCGTTGAAAAGAGATCCATTCGCTGAACTTCATGTTTCCAATCTTCATTTATTTTGTTTTGTTCAAAAAACACGGGAAGTTTCAAAAGGTGGATAAAGTACATTTGTCAAACTGGTTATAGCCACACGGTCGAATACATACCTTAATAACCAAATTCAACTACGTGCTTTAGTTTAACAGTGAATTGACAAACAGATGAACACTAAATAATTTCTTCAAGTAAGATCATATAAATTGTTATAGTTTGTATTTAAATTTCAAAACTTCATTCAGTTAATAATAACAAAATAATATATCACCGCAATGAATAAGTTCAACTACGAGGGAAGTTTAAAGATAATTGAACAAAGAAACCTTTGTTATAGTATAATTTACTACATATGTGTTGGCAATTCTAGATCTCCAGAAATCAGTTAGTAAGCTTCTCATTTTTGTAACTTTACTGTGGAAATCTGAATTTTTTATTTTCACACCAAAGTGCTCATTTTCAGCTTCAATTTGTGTTTTCCGGCTGCACGGACCTTAAATTTCATTGATTTTTCTCCTCTTATTGTGACGTTCTTCAAGGAAATTTTCGTATTGTATATATACACCCGAGTTGTAAGCTTGCCATTCGTTCTTCCTGGCTGTTTGTTGAATATATATTTCCTCGAATGAATCCAATCTTCTCCCTTTAGTTAGCAATGCTTGAGAGCAGTGGAATAGCTTAGTTTATCCTGCTGTTGTGTATCTGATTCTCGTTATGTTCGCTGCTCCTAGGTAATATCTTGATCTCTCAAACATAGCAATCTGTCCAGTAGTATTTCTAACTGTCATAAAATAGTCTATTTGTATTTTTTTATTGAGGGAAGTATAAACCACTGGATGCCAACTCAGTGGTCTGAGAGTTTATCATTGTCTTCAATTCCTGAACAGATAAGTAAATATGCAACGCTAGTTTCCAGTTGGCACAAAATCATTAAAAATAACATGATTTGAAAAAAAATGAGCACAAAAAACGTATTGATGAAATTACCAGAAAAAGGATACGAAATAAAAAGTGTGTTTTCACTACTCCCACATACAAATATCAAAGTTACATTTAAGTCAATGTAGAATGTTCGCACCTCGAGAGTGCTTTGGTGAGAATGAGAATTTCGGTTTGAAAATGTGGATGAATCACTCATCAAACTAAGTATGACAACTTTATAAAGATCATTAATATTATTAAACATTAGCAAAAAAGCACTTTAATCAGTACGTTCATTGTAAACTGATGACTATGATGTTTGTTTCAGATTATCATCTGTTGGGTTTGATAAGTGAGGAGTGAGGCACATGTATTCACTATTGTGATTGGGTTTGAGTCGTCATAAAATTTCAGTTACTTTAAAGGTTTAATAAAACTTCTTATGATTCTTCTCTTTTTAACTGTTGTACTTTATGCCAAATAGTTAGGTAGAAAATTACCGTCATTCATCATACTCTGTGCAAACTTCAGTTTTTAACACCATAAAATGGTATATAATTCCAATATGTGTAAAGTACACTTTCATCTTGGGTGAATTTGTGATAACTTTTGTGGTTATTGGTTTGATTAGGTGATATTCTAATGTTTGATTTGACTCTCATTAAAAATACTATTGAGATGCAATGCATTGACTTCATTCCTTTCATGCGGTTTGATGATATGATTACCGTTTTTCAAAGAAAATAGCACGTTGTTCATAAGTTGACCAAATTTCAATAAATGTCTAGAATATGCCACAGAATGAATATTCAGTGTATTCTCTACTGTCTTCTTAAATAGCAAAATCAAAGGAAATAATCTGAGAAATGAGTAGTATAGGTAGATAATCTCTCCATTTTTCCCTTATATATATAGTACGACATTAATTTGTTATAAAAGTTTTACAGCTACGTTTAATAACTACCATTTTAATTAGTAAATATCTTTCAGTTCCCAAACTAATTAAATTTTCGAAAGAAAGTTGTAGGGTAAACTTATGAAAACCTGAGCTATAGATAAAATTCTTTATAGATCTTAGTTACAAGTTGATCTACTTATGTAATTTGATCAAATTTCAACTTTAGGTTTTTTTATTCACTCTATTAGTTCAGTTTAATTGGGATTCCGTCTTGTCTGTTAAGTTGACCACTGTTTCATCAAAATATCATTTTTATTTATCGTTCATGAATAGGTTGTCGAGCTAGGTATATTTATATAGTTAAAACCCATTTATACAATACAATTACATTATTTTCCCTTCAATGTCCAATCATAATTTATAAATTTCATCATTGAACCAATCATCTAATGATTAAAATATCTAACTGATATTTGATTGGTGTTCAGTATGACATTGAAATTTAATTCTCATTTAAATAGCTTAGATACATTTTGTAAATTAAAAAAAGTACCTGAATTATGTTCTTTTCACAATTAAATATAATTTGGTTCTCATTCATATCCAGGAACATAATTGATAAAATTTCATTGTGTATAACTTAGCAGAAAGTATATTATTGATGAGGGAATGTATGATTCACAATTTTATGGCAGAATATTTATTTAGTCAATTGAGGACTTTTGATTTGATAACATTTACACTGGAATTTGAGAACAAAGAAATTTTAATTATTCGTCTTATCACATTGATTTTAACCGTCAAAATGCTTTATACAACATCATTAATGAAAGTAATTCCACAGAGTCCTAAAAATATAGAATCAGATAAATTTATATTTTCGTCGACTCCAGAGATCTTACATGAAACAAATCGAAGTCGTGATTTTTTTGGTTTCATAAAACGACGTACAACTCATGAGAAAAGTATTTATTCACGTCATCCACTGTACCATCATGCTCCACACTGTCATCATCAACAACACCATCGACGTTATCATAGTCATATACGTAAAGAATGCCCATATCTATGTATAACTCATAAACCTAGTACATCAAAATCTCAAGTAACAATCCACAAATCAATAAGTAAGCAACTTTCTTTACCAGTTGATTATACAGATGAGCAAAAATCATTTTATTCTTCTTCTGGATTATTACAAACTAATTCTATTTTAGATGATGATATCGAGTCTGGATTAAACATACATGACGATGATTTGCATTCATATGTAAGTATACCTAAATGCAATATAACAAGCGAGAGACCAAAATCCTATCTCTCAGGTAGTTCTTCTTCTTTAACCTCTTGTTTAAGATGTCTAAATTCAGACCATACCGTATCATCTCATACAAAAGCTATTGATGAGATAAATTATGATTCAGAACCACAGTGTTCACGTAGTTCTGTTATATCAAATACATCAAAATTAAAATATTTCGATGATACAGATGCGAGTAATTTGTTTGATGAAGTACAGAAAGATACACTTAAAGATCGTCTACTTTATTTTCCTAAAATAAGTAATCAATTATTGTTGACAAATCCTACAAGACGTCCATTTAATTCTAATCATAATAATTCAGATGAGATTGAAAAGCATGATACTACTAGTGTAATAGATGCTAAATTTTCACTACCAAAAAAAGAATTGAAGTTTGCTGTACCAGAATTTTTAATGCCCATTATAGATCGTCGTACATCATCACAAATAGTTAATGTTAAACAGATATCTGTATCGACATTAAATATTGAAAATAAATTGTTGAAAAGACGAAAAACTATTAAAGAACGTTTCAAACAATTACACAGTGATTATGATGGTAGCAAATTTTGGAATAAATTAAATAAAAATTTTAAAATAAATGAAGTTCAGAATTTATCCAGTACTAGATCAAGGTCAAGTATGGCTATTTCCATGGATTATACACATAATAAAGATTCAGTTTCACGATCTAGTAATACATCATGTGATGATTGTAGACGAATTACAATTAATGTAAGTGGTTTAAAATTTGAAACATGGCTAACTGTACTTGAACGTCATCCAACCACCTTATTAGGTGATTATAATAAACGTAAACCATTTTATGATGAATATCGTAAAGAATATTTTTTCGATAGGCATAGACCTAGTTTCGAAGCAATATTTAATTATTATCAATATGGTGGTCGATTAAAACGACCAGCTATAGTTTCTGATGATGTCTTTCTTACTGAATTAGAATTTTTTCAAATTGAATCTGAAGCATTAGATGTATATAAAAAAAATGAAGGTTATGTACCGGATATTATTGTTCTACCAGAAAATTTAATAAAACGTAAATTATGGATGTTATTTGAATATCCAGAAACATCTATACTGGCATTTACTTTTTCAATGGCTTCATTTATTTTTACTGTTATTTCTATTATATTATTTTGTATTGAAACATTACCAGTTTATGCTCAAACACATTGTGAACCTGGAGCAAAACCAAATTTTCGTGATCCATTTTTTATTATTGAAACATTATGTACATTTTGGTTTACTATAGAAATTTTTATACGTTTTATTAGTTGTCCAAGTAAAAAAATATTTATTAAAGATATTAAAAATTTAATTGATTTAGCTGCAATTGTACCATATTATATAACATTATTTAATGTTTTAATCACATTTAGTTGTGAAGGTGCTAAGAATAGTGCTAGTTTAGCATTTCTACGTGTAATACGTTTAATTCGAGTATTTAAATTAACAAAACATTCATCTGGTTTACAAGTACTTGTATTAACATTTAAAGAAAGTATTGAAGGATTAAGTTTATTTCTTGTTGCTTTTATTGTTTGTATATTAGTATTTTCTAGTACAATTTATTATGTAGAAATTGATAGAAAAGGTTCACAAATTGAAAGTATACCAGATGCATTTTGGTGGGCTGTAATTACAATGTGTACTGTTGGTTATGGTGATAAAGTACCAAAAGGACCATTAGGAAAAGTTGTTGGTAGTGTATGTGCTGTAGCTGGTGTATTAACATTAGCTATTCCAGTACCAATTATTACAGAAAATTTTAATAAATTTTATGCTCATAAAACCGGTCGTGGTAGAAGATAAATTCATTTAGCATAATCTTTTCTTCATGTTTTATGTATGTATGTATGTATGAATGTATGTGTGTGTGTATGTCATTCGTATATTTCATTCAATTTACACAAATCATTTAAGATAACAATACCAATCACAATTTTGTCAAATTAGTTGTATCATTTACTTTAATGTAACCTTATTGTTACTAACACTATTTTTGACTATTAATCTTTTTTATTTATTATTTATATTGAATCAAAACATGTCACAATTCCATAGATACACATTCAACATATTCTTACAAGGTCTCATCTCATATTTGTTGATTTCAACTTTACAAATAGTCAACTCTATTCAACAGTTTATTACTTATATTCCTACAAATGAACGAAAAAAACGAAACAAAACAAGAAATATTTCGATTTAGTTTCCTTTCCTTTTCTATGACTTCGGTACTTAGTTTCTCTGTTGAATGGTTAATGTGTAGAATTTCAAATTGTGAATAACCTTCTCACTCTCTAATACCTTTGTATACAGTTTATATATATATATATATATATATATATATATATATTCTTATTATGATATATAATATCATAAATAAATGTAAACACTATGTAATATAGTATTAATTAGAATCTAATTGGTCAGTGTGGATTTAATTGTAAATGATTACATAACTATTACATATACATAAAAACATATTTTTATAACGAAGAAATTGTTATAGATAACCTAACTTATATTGTACATAAATGATACTCAAGTTTATCTTATGGAATAATGGTGTTGTTGTTTTGTTTTGTTTTTTTTTAAAAAAAAACAAGTAAATACATAATATTTTCTATCCAATGAAAACTTCCATTTTGACGTTTGATAAAGAATTTTAAGAGTTGAGATCATAAGTCAATTGAAGCTAGACCATCATGGAAAACCTGAAAGTGCTGGACCGCCATTTTATCCTATTGTGGAACTCCTCAGCAGTGCGAATAGACAAAAAAAGCAGTCCAATTAGTTTCAAATCATGGCTCTCATTCAGCAGTGTTGTTATGTGTTAATTATATAGTATCATAGTGATTACAAAAATAATGTTGAGTAATTGGAAGGGAGGGGATTGAGATGATCATTGAAACTATTTGAAAGAATTCAACTAAACAGTAGTTATATTATATAATATTTTGATGAAAGGTCAGTATTATTGTAATTATTCAGGAATTACAGAACGGATATTAAAAATATGTAAAAGTGAAAGAAATTAGAAAATTGTTTGGATATTTGTAGAAGAGTTGTGTTCAACGAAAACTCATTCCTGTATCGATGGCCAAGTTTTGATAGAATGATTGTACACACTTCTTTTGAATGCAAAAGTTAGGTTTATGTGCATGGATTTCTATACTTTTCTCAATATTTAAAAGATGAATTCGTAAATTAGGCTGTTGATCTGATGGAATATGATGGGCAACCTTAGAAGCTTTATTTAGTTCAACATGATGACCTTCGTCCACCAGGTGAACGAGAATAGAACTTTTAGTCACTATTAACTGTCATCAACTCAACCCTATATAACCGCCTCCACAGCAGCAGTTGAATTGATAAATACACATGAATCTGATGTGTTCAGATAGTTTATCTTCATTGATGGTTCTCATTATCGGTGGGCTGTAAAAATACGCATGCAGTTAGGTAGCAATAAATGTTTTCTACACTGCTTTTCTTAACCTTTGCGTTATAATAAGCTGTATCGCGTCATTTAGAAATTATATTTTTAAGAACAGTAACTTCATCGGCACAGTTGTTACCGTCGGTCTTGTTTTCATTTCATTCATGTGCTTGTTGATGAATTTATTTAGATTTCTATTCCAACTAAGCAAGTTATAAATACTAACAAATACATCTCCAGTAGTATAACACTACAGAAATGAGTGTATTGTCCAACTGCAGATTTTCTATGTATCTGTTTTCTTAATGTCTCATCTACTCTACTTGTTAAGTGGACATCTAGAAACGATATGCTATCACTATGTTCTTCCTCAAGCGTAAAAATAATAGATGGATGAATGTCCTTAAATTTAATTACCAAATCATCCCTTTCATTTTTGTCTTCTAATAATATGAAAGAATCATTTACATTACAAAAGTAAGATGTACTATTGAATGTGTCTCTAAGTTGTCCATTTTACAGTTTTGCAAGAAAAACGTCTCCCAGGTGAAGACCTGGCGATGATCCTATGGTTGCACAATCCAGTTGTTTGTAATATTCATTACTGAATCGGAAGAGGATATTCATTGTGCATCTAAAAGTTAACCATTTCATTACAGACACATTAATTGAAGTTTCAATACGCCTTTCCATTAATTCACTGCAAAAAATTCACGGTTCCCAGTAGGAGAACTTTGATTAGTAAAAAGGATTCATTTAATGATTTCATAAAGTTATTTTTAGTCGGTTAGTTTTTTTATTTCGTCATAAAATTTGAAGACGTCCCTGATACTGTGCTTAACAGTTTCTTTATGCGACGGTTTGAGAATTTACACCAACCATTTTTCTATTGCGTGATAGCCTATATCATTAATACCTAAAATAGGTCGAAACTTCAAGCTTTTTTTATGCCTTTTTTTAACAGAACATAAAGCCTATGTCTTATCATTCTTGTAGATCTCAATATCTTGAACATCTTTCCCCAACTAGAACATTGTTGTTTAATCTGTACCAATGAGTCTATTAGTTGTTTTCCAATCCTAACAGCCACATTAGTCGTCATTACTAGTTTCTTAAATGTACTCTTATCATTTAAAAGGGCCTTCGTCCTACTTAAATAGTCTTATGTATCTGTGTGAACTACATCGTATCCTTTGTATGATTTTGCGGTTAACAAATTGTCGCCAGTTTTAAGTCTCTTCGGTGCTTTTTTGTGTTTTTTGTCCAAATCATGTTCCATCTGTCCGTTGGTCGAGTACCTTAAGACAGTTCACTAGTATTGATTTTAATTTCTTTAAAATCATCCGATAGAATTACTAGCTCTGCCATTTCAGCACACAGGTTTTCAAATAGGATTTTAGCATTCATTTCGTGAACTGTTTTCTTCAAGTCACAAAACTTACGACCCAGTGACAGAGCTTCCAACCCAGCCTTATTGAGATTAACACCTGGGTTAGAAAAAAATTTCTTTTCCGGAATCATTTTTTTCTAGGATTTTCTTAAGTTTAGTTTGTTTCTTTTTTTCGTGTATCACCCATCATCCTCACGCAGTCCGAAAATTGTTCTTTTAAGTTATTGGGAAGTTCTTCAACGGTATGTACTATCTAACTGATATTTTGTAGCATTACAGTAGTATATGAATTTAGTCAATCGATTTGATTCAGTGCTGAAAGTTTAAAAGTCTTTCAATTTGTTTGAACACTATAACGATGAGACGATTTCCAGTGTACTTTTGGTTACAAATAAGTTTCTATCTACTTCTTTATAAAATCAGCATTTGTCTTTGCTTTATTGAGCCTTGCATTGTACTTTAGATACTCATTAAGGACCTTTAACAGAAACATGGGTCAAGAAGATTTCAGCATAGTGAAACTTCTCATTTTGACATTTAGTAAAAATACCAATATATTAGTGTAGACCTGTGATGAAAAACTGAATGAAAGGAAATTTATTTTCTCTATTCGTCTGTTTTTTCATAATTTGTTTTAATGTAAATTATGGTTGTATTGGGAGCTATCCAATCGATTACCAATAGTGATATCAAGAGTCTAGTCAATTTAAGTTTAGTTATCAAAGCCAAATGAACCAAATATTACTTTACAAATGAACAACTATTAGACTACAAAAGAAACAATTAAGATATTGTATTTCCTATTAGCGAACTAAAATGTATGCAAACTATTTGGTGCCAATATAAAATGTGATACATTCTATTTGAACAATCTATACTTCTGTGAAATGAAAATGTTTGTAGTCACCAACTATGTGATCATTAAGATCTAATCTTGTACGCCATTTCATTGTTATAAAGTAAAGTTTTGTTTGAATAGTAGAATTACTTTTTAGCTATAATTTAGAAACATCATTTTCTAACTTATTTTGGCAGCAAGAGTAATTCAAAGATATTGTTCTTCAGCAGTTCTTTAAGATCTTGTGTGTCTAAGGTCCTAACACGAGAAGATTTCTCTCCAAAAACTGAAATATCACAGAGTGTAATGACTACTTCTCAACTTACTAACAACATAAAATTGCAATTGTCCATTTACTTGAAAAAATAATGAATTATATGAACTTTGAGTTTAACTGGAAGTGGCATCATTTATCTTTTTTTTCAGGATGAAAATAGTACACTAAGATTTATGCTATAAGATTCGTTGTTGATGATAAATAGTGTTAGTGAATCTCTCTCTATATACGGAAAAGTCGACTGCACTCGACGGTGGATAAAGATATCTGAACATATTTAATGTATCATTATTGTAAGGATGAGACTTATAAACTATTACACATCATTGTCAAAAACTAGCAAATATTTAAAGAAACCTTTATCTATAATTAGTTGGCATTGTTACTGATTATTACGGATTTTGCTAATAAAAGTATACTGACAGACGAAATGATTTAGTGGAATCCATCTAGAACAATTTATGCATCATTGCTAACTTTGACGATGATGTAAAAGTAGCTGAATACTTGAGATATCATGCAAATAAAAAAGTAAGAAAGGGACATAAGTACTTTTGTCTTTTTTATATTTATAGTTTATATTATGAACAAACTTCATCTAGAATATCGTTAAAAAAGTGAAGACAACTGAAATGTTATTTCGTTTTTATATTGGCCCTAGGCTTAATCACGACAGAAACTCTGACTGATAGGTCTGTTTTGTGTTAGGAGTAAAACAGACACCTATCAAAGAAAGTGAATAATCTTGTAGCTATATAATGAAGGTCCTGGCTTTTGCTCACTGAAGAAAGAGATGCTTCATGTTTCCTTAATTCTAACCGTTACCTAGTTAAAATTAATCAATCATAAAACGTACACACTGAAGAGTTCCAATAAACTGCCTGTGTTAATCATTAATATCTGTTAACTGCTTAATGAACATCATACCTTTAGTTGATCAAAAGCTGTGGCTATTTATCTTAAACAAAGGTTCTGGCATATAATAGGCATCGTCAAAACTAATCTACAAAACAAAAAACCGTGTGTTCTCTTTTATGTTCACCTTGAGGTAATTTTATCTTAGGATCAGTTATAATTACTTAATGTTTCATTTAAAATATGACTATTTTCTAGAGTTTGTCTACATATCTCATGTAAAATATGATACTACAATCATAAGAATTTCATCACTTAACCAATTTGTCATATTGAACTTATTTACTTTTCGTATGAATACATCATTCTTGTAAAATTGACTAGAAGTTCGTTAACCTCAATGTTAAATGAAATGGAGTCTTGTGATTGTCACAAAAGACCTATAGTATCCTGCCTTTTATGGTTTGGGGATAAAATATGAAACAGACACATTACGATCCTATTTGTAAAGTATTTTTCTACATGATGACGATGTACCTTGAGACCGTTGAATGCCGGCTCAGTGGTCTGGAAGTCAGAAATTATCGCATGAGACGGAAGGTCCCGGGTTAGAGTCCCATGTTCTGAATCGTGTGTGTGCAGTGTTGAGGAGTCCCATACTGAAACGAAACAGCAGTCCAGTACTTTACGGTTTTTAATGATGGTCTAACATAGATCGTGTATTGATCTCAATCAAAACTCAAAAGTCTTCACAACCCTATACTGATAACTTAAATTGGTAATTAATTAATTAATAGATTTGACATAATACTTTTTTGACTTATATAATTACCATCAG